AAACCATCTAATCGAGCCATTGGACAATTTATTTTGCAACTCTCAGTTTTATGTGGTGAGTTTGAACAAAATTTCTCTGCCTGATTTTCTGATTGTTATCACATTTTACCTGTTGGAAGTAAGTTGTTGACATGTGGTGTTGATGTGTTTGTAGGTTGTTCTGTAATGTACCTCTCTTAGGCAGCTCATGACAGCTGTTGTTTCCATACCAACTGCTGGCCTTCAGATATGGAACTGCTCCGAGCTGCCTGACAAGAGGTTAACATGACACAATAGTAGCTATGGCCAACCTTGTGCTTTGTAGTTGGCAGTGTAGTCCATATTCATGACACCAGACTTGAGTTCTAACTTTGGAGGAATGCTCACTCCAAATTGGGTTCCTTAGAAAAAATGAATGGGAAAAAAAAAGAGAGAGAGAAAGAAGGAAAAATAATACATTTCAGTTTTGAAGGAAAATGAGAAGGAAATTGTTGGTCGGTTTGAGTCCTCGTAAGTCATGTTATCTTAGGTTCGTTGGATAAACGTCCTCTTTGTTTAAGTTTTTTGCTATCTTTAATATAGCAGTCTAAATCCTCTATGTTTGGCTGTACTAGAAGTCAATTGAATCTAGGGGGTAAGTTTGTGAAAAAACTGTGGTGCTGTGTCGGTGGGAGAGTATAACAAAGTAATTTAGTGTTATCAACTGAGTTTATAACGTTAATTGGTCACCGTAAGGGGTTTCAAAGCTGACGTTTCGAGCGTTAGCCCTTCGTCAGAGCTAATGGCGAAGGGCTAACGCTCGAAACGTCTGCTTTGAATTTCTTAACGGTGGCCAATTACGTAATCAACTCAGTTGATAATACCAAACTGCCTTGAACTAGAAGCCCTTATTTTAGAGGCACAGCATCTGCCAAAGACTTCTGAGACCAAGTTCGTCTTTTGGCGAGAAAATGATGTAGTATGGTTACATCTTAACAAAGCATAGGCGCTTGACCCAATTTGCTAGTACACCTCGTATGTAGAGCGTCAGTCACTTGGCAGGCGTTTGAGGGTTAGAGTGACCAGGTCAAGGTTCTTTGATTTGATACCGCTAATTTTGTTTAAACAGTTGTTTTCATTTAGCACCTCAGACCTTGCTGTAAATCACACTCAATCATAAATGTTCTCTTCTGTGTATTGTATTTTTCAGGAAATTGACCCTAAAGCTGGTGGAGGCTGCACTATGACTATTGGACAGATGGTCAGGAGTTTCTTGCTTAAGTTGGAATGGTACGGAACCTTGTTTCCTCGCATTCCTGTTCCCGTTCAAAAGGATATCGAGATAAAGCTGCGGGGGAAAGGACTGTGCGATGACCACAAACGTACCGCGCAAGACGGCTGGGGTGAGGCGGAGGAGTTTGCTCGGCGCGCTCGCGGTGAAAGGTGGGTGAGTTTGCGAGAAATCAACACAAATAGCACTGATAGCATTGTTTCCTACTGCCATAGAATTACTGCGAAATAGTGATATTACGTGAACATTCCATCGTAGTGCACGTAACTGAAAGAAGGTTGGATGCAGTTGAAACTGTAGTTCCACTTGTGATCTTCGCGTTTGAAAAACTTCTGTTTTGTGACTTTTCTACAAATTAAGGGGAAAAAACTTCTTTTCCGTGTTTGTGTATCTTGAAAAAGATAGTGAGTCGAATAAGCTTCCTTCTAGCAGGGTGTGTTGTGTTTATTTGATATGTTACCGGACAGTGGACAACTTCCTCTACGCAAGTATAGCTAATCCTTCTGCTGGCTACTTTTTCCGCAGCCCCCCAAAGAGTCGACAAGACGAAGAGGAAGATCTTCAACGAAAATCACGTCGAAGTCGAAGTCGAAGTCGAAGTCGCGATCGTGATCGTGATCGTGATCGCGAACGGGAAAAAAGACGAAGTCGAAGTCGCGATCGACACAGTTCGCGAAGACGAAGCAAGGAACGCCGAAGTCACGAACGAAGACGCGATGAAAGTAAAGAACGTGATAGAAAAAAGAGACGGAGTCGGAGCCCGAGTAGGCGAAGTAGGGACGACGACAGAAAAAGAAGAAGCCGAAGTCGGGATAGAAACCGAGAGAAGAGACGAAGTACTGATCGCGAAGAATCGCGAGGAAGAAGTAGTAAGGAAGAGAAAAGAAGCCGAGAAAGGTCGCGCAGCAGATGAAATACATTCTAAACTTTTAATCAATATAACTCATATGCCCCATGCTACTGCCATATATTTCCAAATGTACAGATCATGGAATACCTAATGCATGTTTTTATACTTACTTCGTGGCTATGTGTAAATTGCTCCAGTGATGTGCGCTTGTCGATCAAATATAGTTTTTTTTTTCATAACCATCCCATGGCTTATAGGGTGTGGCTTTTTTGAGAGACATCTCAAGAGGTTTGCAGTTGGCTCCTTACTGCTAGCTCACTTGAAATTAACAGAGCCAAGCAGCAGTCGCGAACGCTATTCGTGGAAGCGTTGAGATTTTTGGTGCCTTTTTTTTACGTTTTAGTATAGGAAAAACTGGCTCTCCGCCTTATTTAAGTAATAATTAAAAACTTTTATCAGCAGTATAATACCGTTTTCTTCGAACTAAGTCTATTCGTATTACTCTTTAACTTTTTAAACGACCGTTGTCTTCCGTATACGTTCATGGTAAGAATGTAGGTGGTTTCAAACCTAGTCACATCCAGGGGTGTTTTCATTTTCAACCGTAAAGATGATCAGAAGAAAGAAAAGGATCTTTTAGCTGGATATTGTTTGAATTGACACCAGGTACTCCGGGCTAAAATTCTAAGAAATATTTGTTAGACAGTGCATCGAGTTTTATTAAGGTTGTGGAAGTGATGGAGGTAATAAATTTCGCAGTGAACTGCATCGAAATGATTTCTTCCCTTCTTAACGAACTTACTCCCGTAACCGTTTTTAGATGGCCCGAATTTCAGAATGTACTCAGTTTTACTCGCCTATGGTGGAACCTAGTACCTCTTGCCGTAGATATCTTTAGAAACGTTTTTACAGGACTACGACGTTAGTGGTGTTTAATTGTGTGCATAACTCTGTTCATTGATATCTGATTATGATGAGATATACTTAGCGAAACTTGTTTGAAATCTGTTGAATCTTTTTTTTTTTTAAATAAAAGAACCGCAAGAACTTTGCCACCTTTGGTCATAGCGTCCACTTATATTGCACTGGAGAAAGTTGGTCCCCCCCAGATGAAAGGCCTGAAGAGTAATGAGTAACGATTGTGTCCGCTGGCTAACTCAAATTATTAAATTTCGGTTCTGAATATTACACTTCTAATGTTCTGATTGATTGATTCAACTCCGGTCATCAGCTTATTTTCCAAGTCACCTTAAATGGAAATGCATTGCGCTTACTGTCAAGAGGAATAACGGCTCCAATTATCCAAATGTTCCGGATTAGATGAAGTGAAGTAAATATTTAATAAACTCATTATTCCATTCGCGCTTGTGGGGTACGAAATCGATTATAGACCCCCATTATGGCCAATTCGGCCCTAAGCATCTCGTTGGCTATTTACCATCTCGTATCCAACGCGCGCTCATGGAGTAATTGAGATGTGGCCTAATGTCAGGCTGAAAGAGTTATTCAGTGATCATTGGATGGGTGAGTAAGGGTACTTGTGACACACCGTACTCTGGGGGGTGTCAAGGAGCTGACAATCGTACTAGACCCTGTATGAAAACTGAAACTTCTAGGATTTCCCTAGGAAAAGGCCTGGTGTTCATCAAATGCACATGGTAATGACCAAGGTTGAAATTCAGGGCTGCCGGTTAACTTTACACGCACAACACTGGACGAAGACAAACAGTCAAATATCCGGAATATCACACCAATATCGCGATAAGCTGCGGGCTAGGAAAATCCGTCCTGCAGATGGTATGGCCAACTCTAAGTATAACGTGTCTGAGAGGAAGCGCTTTAAGAATTTTCTCGCTCTTGAAAAGCTGCCATATCTTAGCCAGTAATAGTGCAAGCACGATCGAAATGTTTGGGTTGCTCACGTGCTGCAAGTGAAAATTTCACTTTTCAAGTTCATTACTTTGTCCATTTTCCTCTCCGTGACCACTGCAACATGAAGATGCTGATCGTGACACATTCGTAAAAGGGATGTCCGGGAATCTCTCCTATAGTTATCCCTAGTCCCCGCTCTAATTTTCAGCGACTTAGCCCAAGTTTGATTCTTGCGTGTGAGCCATTGGGTCACGGTTAAATTTTCTCCGCACTGGATAACACCTTTTTTTACTTATTTCTACGAAGGACTAATCTGGGGTCTGTGTCCTCAAACGGATCATCTTTAAAGGTTACTGTGCTACTAAAGATTTCAGTTTTCATTGTTATTCAATTAATGTCGAAGCCAGCTAAGTTCATTTTGATCAGATTGTTGTCAGAACATTGTGATGTTGAATTCGAAGGACCTGAACCAATTTTTCTACTGTTATAATATCTGAATTTAAGAATGGTTGATCAATTATAGTTTCTCTTAATTAATGGTAATTTTTTCACGTCTCGCTTAATTCCTGTGTAGTGTATCTTTTTAATATGTGATGTTATTTCCTGTTGACTGAAAGAGAAGCGCAGGCGCATTCAAGTATGAAATACTTCTAAAGGACTTTCTTGAAACTTTTCCTGTTTGTACAGTTAATTGGGTCGTCATGAGTTCGTCCGTAGTGAAACGCGAATGGCTTGGCTTGGAGGGGCACATACAAGCTCTGAACAGCAACTGTGGTACGTATTTAAATTTGAGTGCTCAACAGACCAGAGCGTCTCTTGGCTAAATTCGATATTTTCATTTCCTATCAATTAGCGGTATCGATATCATTCAGTTCTTTCGATGATGGTTTATAGTACTCTCTCGTGTAAACTAAATGTAATCAGGTGTATTCTTGGTAATCCTTTAAAGCCTCTGAACACTTAAACTCTTACAAGTAATAAACATAAAATTTAAATATATTGTCAAGCTTTAAATATATTGTCAAGCAAGCG